CTCTCTCTCTCTCTCTCTCTCTCTCTCTCTCTCTCTCTCTCTCTCTCACTCTCTCTCGCGCTCTCGCTCTCTCTCTTCCTCTCCACTCCTGCATTCGCTTGCTTTCGCTCTCCTTCTCGCGTACACTACTACTATACTAGCACGTCGGTGACTGCGCGACTCGTCCCCGATGCCACCGAGGACGCTCTCAGTCTGCTGCTGGACAACGGCGAGGCCGACAAACGTGCGGCGGCCACGCCCCTCCCCGGGCTGCCAAACCCATGCCACTCATCGTCGCCAAGTACCGGAGCGGAGGCGGCTGGTGAAGCAAAGACCGTGCCCGGCCCGGACTTCTCACGCGTGCATGATCCTGGTGTTGGCGACTGGCGAGAGAGAGAGGCGAGTCCACGTGTGGTCGACAAGCTCAGGTGGCATGTGTGGCACAAAGGAGAGGTGAGCACTGGGATAGTGTTTCTACTGCCGGAAGAATTAGTCTATGCAAACGCCAACGTGCACGGTTTGTCTGTCTGGAACGTTGTGTCGGCTACTTATCTCGGGAAAGTACCGAGCCAAGTTCAGCTGGCGCTTAATCCGTCCCATTGCACACGCGTTCCTTAATTTTGATACAGGAGGAGTCGCGAACCGTTCTTCGCGGCTTGCGAGAGGCGAAAAAGGCCTGGTGCGAGAAACGGCGGAACAAGAAACGGAGTTGGCACTTGAGCGACAGCATTAGTAGTGTACCCGTGGCCGACGATGACCACCATATGGCCCTTGCTGTTGTCGATGGCATACTTGATTCCTCATCGCGGGCCAGAACAGCGGCGGCACAAGCGGCAGAGGCGGGACCGCCTAACCCGCCGAGCGATGTTGCTGTTTCTCCGTCTGAGTCGCGTCGAACCGCACCGGCTGAGGGCTCGATGGAAGGATGTGGCAGCAGCAGCAGCTTCATTGAGGGAAGAACGCAGGATGCATGGGAGACGGTAGGAGAGCTACGAGGGACGGTCGAAGAGCTAAGTGAGAAACTGGGGCTATTGACAGCCGAGGGCGACGTGGACATGACAGCTGAAGGCGCGGTGGATGCGCAGCGTACATTTCCCGAGCCGAGTGAAGACGACGAAGAGGAGCTGTGAAGGCCAACGAGCGTCTGCCGCTCCCAGCAAGTTTCCTCCGGAAACTCAGCGACAAAATGAACGATGACTACATCATGAGTCGGACTGGCGAGCTGCGACCCACCTGAAATTTGGAGATGCGTTGCAACCCCTCGTTTTCGTCGGGCAATATGTGACATATTTTCGACTTCCACATAATCAAAAATTGGGTTCCCGAAAGGGTGAATTCAGCCGAGATCTTCACGGAGAATATGCGAGTTGTCTCGTTGGAGCTTAGTTTCATGTTTGCAGCTTCGCAAGTGTTCGATCATACACTATAATCGCTAGGAATGAATCTTTGACTGGATTACTAACTGTACCATGTTATTTTGTCCGCTCCAAGCCGGAGCAAAGCACCTGACGACGTATCTCTTGTCACCGACGAAGCATAGACGAGCGGAAACATCACAGCGGCAGCACGCCCATCTGTCGCTCTTTCTCAAGGGCGCGTATTTCAGAAAACCGATACTGTCACTAGACAAGTGGCTCTCAATATTCGCACCAAAGGGTGGGCGGTTTCTACGACAACCGTGCAAATGCCAGTCTCCATAACGTGTCATTAAGAAAAGTGTACCCTCAACCGCTAGTATTGAAGGTACTACAGTAGACCTCCAAAATGTAGCTCCTCGCCCAGAAGCCATTTTCAAATGCAACGAAGGTTATTCCGCACTCCAAGCAAGGACACCAACCGAGAGGCTGCCGTCACACGCACACACCCCTCTCAGGGCATACCAACGCAGTGCCTATCAGTGACCCGCGCACGCGGCTTGCGACAACCCAAGAACGCTTAACTCTTCTCGGCTCTACCTACGCCCCCGCCCCCCTCCGCCAACTTTCTCGTCCTTCGTTTCGGCTCGCCACTCTCACCACCGCCACCCCTGCTTCTTCGCTTTGCGCCTGTTCGCCAACGCGGCAACAACTCCCGACCTTCTATTCTCAAACCGCCCACGGCCACTGCGCTAGCCCCGGCCCTTCTGACAGCCGCCGCCACCGCTGACCTCAACCTCGCTCCCCTCTTCTTCCCCGAGCCCCTCCTCGGCTCTGTCCTCCGCGCCGCTGTTCCACCCTCCCCCGCGCGCCCGCCCGGCTTCCGCCGGACCGGCACCACCGTGCCGGGGATCGAAGGCTGGCGCGGCGGCTTGCCTCCGTTGACGCCGGCCGATCGCGGCTGGCGCTGCGCCGGGTCCTCTACCTCCTCCTCCTCATCCTCCGAAGCCGGGGGAACCATCATGTCGTCTTCAGCTACCGCCGGGGCCGTCGTCCGAGAGTCGGCGGGGTCAAAGACTAGGTCCGACGAGCGCGGAGAGGGGATGGAGTTGTCCTTACAGATCTGGGTGGTCGCGTCGGGCACGCCCGCGGCCTCGAGGACTATGAGCCTGTCCCGGAAGAGTTCGAAGCGAAGGAACTCCTGCCGGTTCGCGTCGGCGAGGCGGACGAGGTGCCTGAGGCTCTTGACGCGCTCCCCGTTGAACGACAAGAGCTGCATGTTGGAGAAGCCCTCGTACCCAACGTTCACTTCGTGTGCCAAAACCTGGGGTGGGTGGGGTCAGGTGTGTCCGTCGTGAGCCTTGTCTGTTGTGTGCATCGTCCCGAGAGCGCGCGCTGCATGTTTGGACCCACCCTCCGTACATGTGTCACTGAACATAATCACGCAAGCATGTAGATGCCCCTTCCCCACCCAGTCACGCATCTACCCCGGTATGTATACATATTTTTGCCTCACCTGGGTAAGGATGACAATATCCTCGTCGTTGCTAGCCCTCACGCCATGCTCCGCTGTTGAGAGCAAGTGCGCTAGACCACCCGCGCCTTCCTCAATTTCGTGCTGGCGAGATGAAACAAGGAGATACAAGAGGGTATACACGACAACGGGGGAAGAAAAACAAGCAGCAGCTAGTAAGAGAGGCACGACGATCACATGTACAAAACAAAGGCCATCAAAGCAAGCAACATACACAAACTCGAGACGACTCGAGACCCTTTTACCGCCGCAAAACGAGCGATCATCGCTGTAGAAACACACAAGCTTAATTCTGGACGCGACACGAACAACGGGAGAAAGCAGAACGCCTGTCGTACCTCGAGGTACGGCGCGCTCATGACGGTGAATACCAGCCCCCCGAGGACGAAGTAGCTCGGCGCCCGCCCGCCGAAGTGCACGGGGCACAAGACGTCCGACACGGACAGCGGAACCGTCACGGACATCACACTGTCGTCTCTCAACAGCTCCACCTCTGTCTGCTCCATCCAGACAGAAGGTGAGTTCATGTCGACAGCCGCGAAAAACAGACGGGTGGTGATGAGTGGGGACGGGGCGGGGACCGATCGATTAGTCTCAAGTCTTTCGAACGCAGGGGATCAAACGAAACAATCAAGGCACTCCCTAGACAGGGTACACCACGCATGCCTTGCGATGCCGACAGACTTTTATCTCCTAACTGCACTGCGGTAGCAGTATTCCCCAGTCTTTCACAGAGTTCCAGCAGCTGTTGCCCACCTTGTCTTCAGGGAACAGCTGAGACATGTAGTACTTCAACGCCACCCGCTCCCCGGCGCGGAAGGGAATGCTCCCGTCGTTCGCTACCCTGATACCGTCCACCTTCATGATGACGTCACCCTTACGAAGAACGTTCACCGCCGGATAGGTGGGCTGCGATGGGGGGTAGGTAGGGGGCGGAGAAAGAATAGTGAGCTTCGACCTATTCTGTAAGAACACATTTTGCACGTATACCATCACCAATGAGTCGTCGTAAACCCCGTCGTGTCCAACGGTCAACGCGTTGTTCCGGGGTAAAGACAGGTCCTAGAATTCAGCCACGCGGGCTCACAATTCGTCACCCACCCATCCGCAGCCGGACGAAAAATGACGCTCTGGGCGTGGACACGAACAAAAACCGCGAGGTACGTAGGAATGCGTGCGGGTAAACCGCTACACCCACGCTGTGTGACTTATTTCCGCACCTGCACGCATGTGACCATGACGCCCGTCTGCTGCGGAGACATCCTCAGGCTTCCCCTAAGGGCCGGGCTCTCTAGGTGCTGGTGAGTGATGCCCAGGCGCGGGAAGCCGAGATACCTGCCGTCGTGACGGCGGACGTCCTCAAGGAAGTGCTCCAGGACGTTGACCGGAACCACGTACCTGCCGGGCAACGAGAAAGCCAGCGGCGGCGGCGGCGGCGGCGGAGCAGCGTTAGGGAGCAAGTGGCACCGGCATGCACTAAATTTGGTCCAAGTACAGTAGTCACACACTACGCAAAATCTGTCGTGTTTCTCCAGACCGGGACACCAATTTCCCCGTGCGACAGGGTTCTTGCGTGCAGTACACGACCAAAACATCAGCAGTAGTGAGCGGCAACAACGACAGATCCTCGCTGGCACCGAAAACAAACGCACAGCCCCGGCCGCAGGCAAGCTTCGCCAGACAAAAACAAAAAAAATGTAACGCAATGGCCAAGATTAAACTCAACACAAAACATGTTGACGCAGAACATGGAACAGCAAAACAAAAACAGACATACAGCGTGTTCGTGCTGTTTATCCCGCTATTTTTTTTTCTCCCATCATTGGACTCTGTCGTCTGCCCCTCTGGCCCCTATCCTCCACTTATACTAGCTAGACGACCCAACCGGGGTCACATAGGAGGGGGGGGCTGGACCCCCTCCTGCGGTTCCTGCCTGAGGTATTTTTATCGCGAGAAGGGTACAGCAATCCCTTCCCTCGCGACTTACGAAGTCGATTATGGTTTACTAACAACGAGCTTTGCAACGCGGCGCTTTCATCCTAGACCAAGATTTATTTCGTGAGAATAACACTCACTCTGCCGCGACTCGAACCCATGACCTGGCCCTTAGCAGGCTGCGAGGTTACCCACTAGACCACCGGGGCGACCGGCTATGTACAAGACCAGCGTCTTTTCATTGGTCAGCCGGTTAGAGCGGTCGATGCTCATCAAGAAAACACACACACCCGATATTCTCAACGTCGCTGCCGTCCAGGCTCTGAAACGCCACCCCCACCACCTCCCCGTCGTCGTTCACCACGGGGCCCCCGCTGTTTCCTGGGTTAATCGCGGCGTCGATCTGGATCGACAGCAGCTCCTGCTCCGCCTGGGCGTAGACCGTCATCTCCACACGGCTCACCACCCCAGCTGTGATGGAGATGCACTCTCCTCCAACCGGATAGCTGTCGTCGTTGTCGGTTATTGGGTGTGTGTTTATTGTCGGTCGTTTGTCAGTAAGTATCAGATTACAATAGGACAAGAGGGGACGGCGGAGGGTTGACATACATAACCCCAAAATGGTATGTAGGTGAGGCATTTCACGTTTTCTTAGTGTTCGTGCTTACAGAGAGAGCTGGGGAAAGCAAAACGATCGCGTCGCCGATATATTAGAAGAACGGCTCGAGAACAAAAGACGACGCACGAACCCACCCTATCACACTGACGTCGTCCGTCAGCTCCGGCAGCTCGCCGAAGGCCAGGGGTGCCGCCCCCTCCCAGAACTCCTCGTCCTCTACGGTAAGGATAGCGAGGTCGCACTCCTCGCCCACGGCATAGCGGCTCGCCTGAAACTTTCGGTCGCAGCCTCTCCTCCGGACCTTCACTTGGTCGACCGACAACGAAGGCAATAAGCAGCGGTACAGCGGTGCGTTGAGATATAAGAAAGCAGTAGTACGTCGGGAAAGACGCGGCATTTTCGGTGCCGCTGCGCTTTCTGCAGTGGAGCAACCGAGCTTGAAATCAGTTGAATCGGTCCAGGGTGTGTGGTATCGTGTGTCATGTCACCTACGTGTATGTACTGTAGCGTCGTCCACCGCCTCGAGAAGAAGATACAGTAACAACAATAGACAGAGCAGTGTTACACGAAACACCCGTTTGGGACACCTTCTTGGCGACCGTGTCCACGGACACATGGCACGAGTCCACCAATATCACGTGCTCGCCTGTATCATTGTCGAGTACTCCACGGCGTGGGCGTTGGTAATGATGCGTCGCCCGTCGATGACGAACCCCGTGCTGGTGGACTGCTCCTGCTTCAGCCTCTGCCACGGGAGGGACCAATTGGGCATGTTGTGCGTGCAGTAGATCTGCGGCGCCAAGGCGATAGATGGTGAGACGAACAGAGGCGTAGGCGCGTGGAGGAAAGGGCGCGGGGGTGAGGAAGGGCGACCAAATGGCGAGGGGTTCGACATCAACCACGAGGTAGGGTGTTGGCGTGCAACAGATGCATCGCACAACCCCCGACTGGAAGCAAGTGTGCCGTAGATAACACAGGGGCGAACACGAATCTCGAGTGATGCTCAGACGGTAGTTGCCAGGCTTTCCCGTAGTCGAATAGCCGTCGCCACAAGGGCGGGGTGCGCCTTCCGACCTGCGTATGGAGCAAGGCAGGATAGAGGAGGTCCACATAGCAGCAGAAAACTAGACACAACCCGCTGGAGAAACAGCCAATGCAGCAGGTACCCGCCGCAAGTGACGCCACTCTCGCTATACCCACCACCCAACCTGACTCAAGCCGCAGTGTATCGACTCTTGACTGCGCCATTCTCTGTCCGACAGATGTCAGTTCCTTCCTCAAAAGTGGAGCAGTGTGAAAACGCATTCACCGCTGAATGGCCTTCCAACCATACGCGTTTGATGTGTACTATGTAACACGCGTACACATTTGATTTTTTTTGCTTTATGGTTCGTTGAGGTTCGCTGGACGCTGGGTCAAAACACGCCAGCCGTGTGGGGTGTTCGAGCTTCGGATACGTGCGAGCTGTGCGAGCTTTCGACACGTCACAACTGGCAGATGGCAGCCAGCTATAGGCTAGTCCTGCTGCCTGCTTTTATTTTCATCTTGCTTCTCTAACCCTACAATAGATGACACGACACTGCTGTTGTCTCATCAGCCCACCCGGATCACTTGCAGAGTACTTCGAGGATGTGAGCTACTTACATAACATGCTGCATCTACTGCTGCGTAGTCTGTGTCGAAACGAGAATTGGCTAACAACCATGTAACCTCCGATTGCTAAGAAAGTTTCCTTGTAACTGCACATAGTACGACATCGCTGCCCGCTTTTTAACAATGACTGCTGTTCTCGTTACTTCGGACACCAATCCCTCTCCTCTCACCCTTAGTACGTTGTCTAGGGTCTCCTCCATGAACTCTCGGTCATCCACGAAGATGGCCGACCTGCCGCCGAAGGCGTTCATGAACCTCTCCCTTAGCGGCTTAGCCTTCGCCTGCGCCGCTATTCTCCTCTTCGACCGCCACGCCCTGTCGAGTACCTCTTGAGCATAAACGACCGGCCTCGGCTGCGATTTTCCGCTGCTGCCACTGCTACTGCCGCTATCTGTTGGTGCTTCTCCGTTGTTGTTGCCGTTCCTCTGCGACACAGCCGACAACGGTCCTACAAAGGAGGGTTGCCGCATCTCCCACGCGCAACCCGCCGCTGCTTTTGTAGTTCGGAAGGGCTTCAAAGAAGTTCGTGTGCCGGCGTTGATTCCGAGCAAGTAGTGGGTTGCTGAGCTTCTGCTACCGCTGCTTCTCCTGCCGTAGCTCTGGACAAGACGCGCGCCACCGCTTGGCAACATGAACGCTGCTGCGCGATGGACCGGTACCAACCCGCAACACAGGAGTACGGCCGCGACCATGCTGCGGTAACCCATTGGGTATGTCTTTTGGCCTCGGTGGCGCGCACGATGGACACACGAAGTGTAGGAAACGTCCTCTCCCATAGCGTCCAGACCTAGCAAGTATTCTCCTAGGCCAGTGAGGCCTCCATCTGACACGGTTGGTTGAGCACCAGGCAAGCCAGCGCTGCGCACAGCCCAAAAAATAGTCGGGGCCCCGCAAATTCGCGGGGTTCCGCAGATTCGCGCACCTGCAGAAAATGGCAAGAGATCTGCCGCCGCCTACCCCACCTAGCGCAGGCGACAGAGGGAGCAAGAGGCCACAAGGGAGGCAGACGTCTGACCAGGTGGGCTTTGAATCACACTGGGACTACTGGACAACTTTTGTTCTGACTTAGAGTTAGCGCCACGAGGAGATATTCGGAGATTGCCGTGAGCGTACCACCACGCGATGCCGCCGCACACAACCCACCGGGGTCCTTGTGCTCACCTCCCAGGAAGCGCTGCGACCGTGTTGCAGAATACAGCTGGTCATTCAGTGTGGCAAACTCAGTTGGCTATCTAGCACAGAAAGTTTCAGGCAATTCCATCCTGAGGAAACTTAGCTTGGCCGTGTTGAACATTGAAAATCTTGGCGGCGGCGGGGGAACATGCGCAAGCTCT